AGTTCTAACTGTTATGGATTTCTTGTTTTGGTGATGGGTAAGTGAAGAAGGCTATGTTAGATAGTCAGAACAAAATCCATTGTGAAGCTCCATAGCTTCTGTTCCGAATGAACACTCTTAACTGTATAGAAAGAAGTTCTCTGAGCTCTTTGTATTACACTGCTTATATATACTCAGTTACTTATTGGAGAATAACATCCTAATTTAAAACAAAATACTAGAAACAAATATTCTAAACATTAAAAAGTTATGTGATAATATACTCTAAAAAAGGTCTACAGGAAAAGCTTACACACACATATATATATGTGTGTGTATATTATATACAGTTAAAATATTATATATTACATATTTATATATAATATGAAGTATATGTGCTATATATAAGTTATATACTATGTAAACTGTAAGATATACTATGTGTATATATTTAACAGCATGTATATGTATGTGTATATACAAACATTTACATATCACATACAATGATTGTTACATATTTTATATTATGACACTATTAAAATTAAATGAGTCTTTACAATATGTGAAATGCACTTCTATTGTACTGTTTTATTGATGTCATTTTATAACCTAGGAAGAAATCACTAATGGCATCTGGCTGATCTTTCACAGCCTCCTTCATGAAGAGGTTATGTTTTTTGGCTAACAATACACACTGTATGTCTTCACATATTCACAGAATCTTCAATAGGAAGTATTTAGAGTTAACGTATTTAGAGTTAACAGACCCAAAAATGTGTTCATCAGCCTATAAATATACAACTATGAGTTGTTTAATGAAAAAAGACCAAAACAGGAAATAGAAGGGAATGGGCAAAGAAGCAAAGAGAAGGCATAAAAATTAAGGTAATGTATTTTCTACTCTGAAGGAGTTACAAGGAGGACACAACCAACTTATCAGAGAAGCAAAACTAGGAGACATGAGAGCTATAGAAACACTATAGTGGTAACAGGTGTGAGCCCCTACCTGTCCTCCAGGACACAGCACTTCACCTCCAAGCATAATAAAGGTGCCATTTCTTCAGCAGAAAATGCAAAAGGGGAGGCCGAAAAGCTTTCCCAGTAAAATTCCTGAGAATTCAATTACCTGTGAGTTGTCATCTGAAGGCACACTTTACTAAAACACTAAAAAGCAACAGGTAGAATAACGATGAGTAATAAGAATGTATCCAAGGGTTGGCAGACTTGAACTGGTCAGAATAAAGCCAGAGTTTGTGTCTCCAGTACTGTTTACTCAATGCACAAATGCAGCCATAAATGACACAGACATGAATAAGGAAGTCACATTCAAAGACAGTTTACAGATTTGTCCCATTATTGCCCCAGTTTAGTTCACATAAAAACAAATATTCCAGCTGAGCAGAGGCAGGCGGATCTCAGTGAGTTCGAGGCCAGCTTGATCTACAAAGCGATCCAGGACAGCCAGGACTGTTACAGAGAAAACCTGTCTCAATAAACAAACAAAGAAACAAACCCAGAAACTGGACAACCAGGACTGTTACAAAGAAAACCTATCTAAATAAATAATCCCACAAACTGAATTAGAAACTACTACAGGGGAAACTGTTATTTTAAAATTCAAAGAGTCACAAAAGTCCCATCTGAAATGTTTTGTTAGACATCAATAGCATAATAGGAAACAGATCTCTTATTACCTTACTGCAACTGAGATTTTTCTACCTCTTCTATAAATCTAAATTCTAAATTGATCACTGAAGTCTCAGATGACTAGGAGTAAAAACTGGCCTCTCTTACTTAGAAGTTCCTGCAACACTTCCAGACAATAGCATAAGGATGTTCTCTACAACATTCTCATTCATGCTGCAATCCTAAAAGCCTTTTCAGAATGGAAGATAAGGTAAGGACAAAATTATGCCTGTTGGAAATGTCAATTCAAGGACTAGTATTAGCTGACATTCCCCTTTCTTTTAGTAGCAAAAGAGCATCTGTTAAAGGGACTATGAAGGTTATTATATAAGTGGGTAATTATAAAATCTTCTATTAACTTTTAGATAGCCAAATAAATAAATAAATAAATAAACCAAAAAGGCCCACTTACTCAAATAAGATGTTATACTTACACTTGCATAAACCTGTTACTGCTGCTAGCATCCTATTAGGACATCCTTTAACATTAAAAAGTTCATTAAATGTCCAGTCCCTGTATCTGGGTAGCCTATAATCCTAAGTATGTTCTATTAAAAATAATTAGAAAAATGACAGTCTATACTATTATTCAATACAACACTAAATGGTTGTATTCTAACATTCCTAAATACTGTAAGTGACCTACAGAGTGATTTGGGGATAATTTCAGTAACCTTGCTGTTAATTAAACCTTTTCATTTCAGTTACATATTACTTTATACTTATTGAACATAATTTTAAATGTTCCAGTAAGTTTTTATTGAGAAATGAAGTAATTTTTATTTCAGAAAAACATAAACATGACTATGGCCCATCCACAGATCTTAAAAAATAAAAACAAATATTTTGCAAAACTGATTACTGTCATAATCTAAAACCAGAAAAAAAATTCAAGTGGTAATGGTAAGAAGCTAGAGACTTTCTTTTATTCAAAAATTAATTTTTAAAACAAGGTCACAATGTGAATATGACATTTTCAAACTTTATTATCAGTACAGCATAAAGTTACATGAGGAAAATTAAGTCAGACAGTTTAACACCCTTTTCAAGACAAGAAGCCCAGATTAAATAAAATTACCATTACTTATATACAAAGCTAACTTCAAACACTAACCTCTCTAATTTTAACAGATTGCTTTTGCAATTTGAGAAAAAAAAATCCTACATATTCTTTTGAAATGTAATTTGATTTTATTTTGTATCTATCCAATTTTTCTCAAAGACTAAGTGTATGGAGACACAATCAGTTAAAGACACACATTTTTATTAGCAACAGTCAACAGCTAAAGGAAATCCATAGGTACACCTTATAGTTTTGGTTGTGAGCCTAGCCTTTAATGGCTGAACTATCTCTCCAGCCCATAGGTACATCTATGGGATCGAAGATTCTAATTTTAGTCTTGGGGACAGGTGCCAAGAAACTTCAAGGTAAATCAAACACTAGGGGGCAGCAAACTGTTGAGGATTAATACCAGACAATCAACTCAAAAGCCTGAGACACTAAGAGACTGTACTTAGTCATTTTGCCGTAGGGCTAGAGATAGAACCTAGGAATCCACTATGGCAGCTAAATCATCTACTGAACTGCTTACAATCCACAAAACAAAACAAAACAAAACAAAACAAAAAAAAAAAAACACCAAACCAAAAACAAAACCGTCTTTTGTATGTTTTTAATGACACTCTAATGAAAGATGGCTTAAAATTAAGCAAGCCACTGTGACATAATGCTGTTTTGATTGCCAGTTATTTCTCTTCCATTTTCAGTTGTCTACTTTGTCCAATTTGTGAATCAATTTGCTTTTAAATGTATTAGTGGCAATGTCCCTTTGATACAAGATACAGAATTCAGTAGCATTTCCATTCTTGAAGTAGGTGCTACACTGAGGACTAGTCTTTTAATCCAGATGACTTTAAGTTAATGCTAAGTTTAAACCTGATAAAAAAAGCTATATATGTCCAGTCACTGAATGTGTCATGGTAAAGATACTTTGTGACAAAGTGCTGTGTGTGTGGGGGGTATATGTTTCCTTTTGAGGATCTGGCCTTGTAAATAAATAAATCCCATATACATGTAACTACAGAATAGAAAGGGGGGCAGGAACAAATCTACAGCTATCAGTTACTACATTTGAATTACGTACTTAAAAGATGAGCCCCCTAAATAGTAGAAATCAGGAGGTACCATCCTGGGATAATCAATTATAGGCAAAACAAAAGAGAAATTCAATGATTAAAGTAAGTTTGGATATAGGAAATCTTAGAGAAATAGCCCTTTGGTTCATTATTAATGATCACATTAAACTCCTGAAGTAAGTTTTATAATACTTTAAGTTCACAGTCTAAAGCAACTTGCAAAGATAGCCAAATTAGTTAACAACATATCCAGGTTTAGAATACTTTACCTCACTCCAAGTCCCTAAATTTATCTCAATACTGCTCAATTCCCAGAGTTCAGAAGGAGCAAGGGAAATTCAATATGAACTGAGTCAAATTTCTTTAATTAAGAGAAAATAATGAGCTCAGCTGCTGAATGACTTCCCTTGCTGTATATACCCCATCGTCTCCATATATCACTTAGGCTTCCTAGAGCAGTGCCTGCATACTAAACATTAGGCCTCTTCAAAGTACTTCAAACCAGGGATTCAAAATCTGTTGAGAACCACAATGACTCCCAAAACAGAGAAAGGAGATCCTGAGTTCCAGGCACACAAGGGCTACATGGGTAGACTACTGATCAAAACCACAAGTCTGAACAAAAAAGTGGAATGAGGGTGGTGTTTACAAGCTATTAGTGGACGATAATAGGAGCATAAGAGGAAGAGCAAATACAGGTAGCACCTCAGCATAAAATCTGAAATGCTACCAAATCCACAATGTTCTGGGAACTATCATGCAGCAATTGTGTTAGCATCCACATGTCACGTCTGGATAGGTCTCAGTCGAACTGTAAATGCAGGTAAAATACTGTAAAATTACCTTTGGTTTAAGTGCACTTGGCCTATACAAAATAAAAATGCAAGTCATGTTTAAACTTTGGTCCTGGCCCAAGAAATCCATTATTTAACATGTTCAAATATCCCCAAATCCAGAAACAAAGATTGGAAACATTTCTCGTCCATTTCAGGTAATGGGTATTCACCTGCACAGCTCATGAGTGCAAGCACACACACGTGCATCTATTTACACTACTAAGGACTTGAGCCCGGGTTCATGGAAACACTAGGCAAGTTTCCTAACACTGAGCTATAATGAGACTTGTTTTTAAAGAAAACTTTTTGAAACAAATCCTAGGAATGAACTTGACAGCTTCCTTCCTCGGTCTCCCAAATTACCTGGGTTTTTAGGTCTGTGGCTTCAGGTGTCACAAGAGAAAACATCATCCCCAGCTCTTTCAAAGTAGCATCCTAATTATTCTTGCACAGGGGTTCTTAACCATGGTTGATAGAATTCAGTTTTGTCAGTTTGGGGAGCGATTAAAGCCACTGAAATTTAGTTACTTTCCGGTGAGGAAGTAACTTTCTGAATACAGGCCAAAATTAAAGTGATACAAAACGCCTGAAACAAATCCTTTAAGGACCACTTAGAGTTCTGATAGTTTGAAGTTAGTCACTAGGCAGGCCAGGACGGTTGGTATTTGATGTTTTATTAAAGTATGGATTACTCCATCATAAACACGTCGTTTCTTCATAACTGTTTCAACGTCATTTAACAACTCATTGTATCCTTTCCTATCTAGTCACAATCTAAACCCTTTGGTCTGGAAAACAGAAAAATGTTAAAAAACGCCCGCCAGCACATTTTTATTTTCTTCACAGTATTTATCACCGATGTGTCTGTCTTCGTTGTGTAACATTCAATGCACACAGGAAGTGGGGTGTCTGGGATGGATTCCCAATGTCCAGAAGTTGTGACTCACAGGGTACGAGTACGTGTGGATTAAGGGAATCCTAATATCACACTGTAGACAGCAGTCTTGCTTTGTTAAGGCTTCCCAACCGCACTGTTACAATTCCAAGCCTCAAGCTCTTCTATTACTTCTTTCTTAATTACCATTAGATACATCCAAAAAAGAAAACATAAAAAAAAAAAAACCTGTCACACGCTAGTTATCGCACTTAACAATGGAGACATAAATGAAAGTTTCTAGAAGACGGTAGGCTGCACTGTCTTTTAACTCATGCTTTGTGTCACTGTTGGAGCGGACACTTGGGTAAAGGACGACCCTTCCAAATCGGTGGCGGGGCGTCCTGCGGCGAGATTTCTTCCACGTGCCCAGCTCCTTAAACTCGGCCCATGTGGACAGGCTCCCACGTGAACGCGTCTTCTCAAAAGGCACAGGAAGCCCTTCCACGTCACGCCACCCGCGGCCTCGCCGGGCTGGGGAGTTCCGAAGACCCCCCAAGGGAGGAGCGAGGCGGGGAGCGGATGCGGACCCCGCGGCGGGCCGCTCCGCCACTTCCCTCCGCTCCCAACCGCGCCCACGCCGCCCTGAACCCCGGTGCCCGGGAACAAAGCCCGCGGCCGTGCCACGCTCGCCCCACGCCCCGCCTCGGGGACCCGTGGGCTGCGCCGCCGCTCCCGCGCGCCCCGCAGAGCCTTTTCGGTTGGCCCGGAGCTCGGCGGCGGCCGTCCGTTAGTCCCCGCGGCCGAGCCCCTGGGACCTGCCTCGACACCCGGGGTCCCCGCACGGCGGCCGCGGGAAGCCCGCGCAGCCCCCAACCGGCGCCGCCCGCCCGCCCCGGGGCCCCGCAGCAGGCCATGGGGCGCGGGTCCCCACCGCCGCCCGCCACCCCACGCGCCGGCCCCGCGAGCCGCTGTCCGGCTCGCCGCCACCGCCTGCAGCAGCTGCGGACACCGGCGCCCCGGCCCGGAGGCCCCGGTGGCGGCCCCAGCCCGGCCTCCCGGCCTCCCCTGCCGTCCCGGGACTCGCAGGCTCCGCCGCGCACGGGGCCGGTTCTGGGGGAGGGAATGTAAACAAATCGGGGTTTTATAGTTACCTCACACTCGAGTGCCGTGTGCATCTCCTCTCCGCTCGGTACCAAACCCCGGCTGCACCCAGTCGTGTATTCTCCAAAGCCTTCTGCGCTACCTGCGTCGCGGAGCCCAGCGCGCGAGCCGCGGCTCTACGCCGTCGGCGCACCCGGCCCACTCCGGCGTCCTGCGCAGCCGCACCCCGGCCGCCTCAGCGCTACGCCAGCGGCGCACCCGGCCCGCTCCGGCGCCCTGCGCAGCCGCACCCCGGCCGCCTCGGCGCTACGTTGGTGGCGCACCCGCAGCGCCCAGCCATTCACTTCGCGGACGCGCCTGGCGTAGGGCAGCCGCGGCACCCGCGGGAGCTACACCGACTGGCGGAGCTGGAAGAAATTCGATCTACGCAAATTGCGCAGCGGAGGAGCCCCGCGCTAGTTTTGTTCCGAGAAAGGACGCGGTGGGGGAGTTGGGGCAGCTGCTAACGCATGCGTGGAGCTCCCTTGCTGGCCTCGCCTGGTCTAGCACGTCGGTTGCTGAGGCCTTGGGTTGGCTGATGGGACTTGGGACCCTGCAGAGGGAACGCCTCAGCCCAGTGGTTTCGGAGTGATCATTTAGGATTCAGATCTCTACGCGGGTTAGACATCTATATTAAATTAACTCCTCCCCCCGTCCCAGCAACCATTCCATTCTTAGGGCAAATCTGAACTTTAGTGCTATGTGCAAAGTGTTTTGCATAACTCCCCCCACTCCGTCCCTCATTTAAAGCGCACTTACAGTGGGTCTTCCCAAACGGAAAGGAGAAGTTGAGAGTAAATGTATGCCACGTAATTCTGGTAGCTCTGGGTACCCTTCCAAGGACTCCCCACCACCTTAACCAGTGGACAATTCTACACCCAAAGGCAGAGAACCCTGAACTGCCCTCAATTCCGGTAGACTCATGCCTGCATCCTGCTGGAGCTTGCATCCCTTTGCTCACACGGCCATCCTCAAATGGCCTCCTCCCCTCTTAAGCAATGAACAAACAACCCACAATTTTCTTAAAAGGAGGCTCGGCAAACCCTTTGCTTCATTATTCATTACTCTGCTTCCTGGCTCTTAATTCATGTCTAGGCTTATTTGTATTCTGCCCGGATGCCTGTGTTTCTGTATTCAAACAAGAGTACTTACTAGTGAAAGTGAGTTCTGGGGGTGCTTTATGGGTGTCCAACGGAGTGCATATAACACTGAACAGCAGTAATTGCCAGCTTTATGTGTCAGGTACCTCCAACGTGCTTTGCATGTGTATTAATTTAATACTCATAACACAGTGAAGAATGATTACCCAGGAAATGAAGACACAGGAAATAAGTAACTTGCCTGAGAGCACACAGAGGCATAGGAGGGGCAAACCCATTCAGTATGGCCACGTGGCCTATTTGGCATACTTGAACCCCATGAAAGAAGTTGTTTGCCTTTTGTTTTCTACCGCTACATGGAACATCTTCCAGGTGCTTAGTAAATGTCTGACTGAAAGCACCCTGCACTTCTCATCTCGGGAAGCCAACCTATGATCTAATGCATGCTATCAAAGGGGAAAGTTCTGAGAAGTCAAGCCAGACCTTGCTGCTAATGGAGGAAGATAATGGATGACCATAGTCCTCAGACCAATGAATAAATCCAGGTATTACATATAAAGTATTGACTTAAGTTGCTTAGAGTTTATCAGGTCATTATAAGTAGGTCCTTTTGGTACAAAGCATAAAAGCATCCAAGTTGCCCTTATATTTTAAGGTTTCTAATTTGATTGAATGCATTGTTGGTGTCTTTAAAATATGTAATATCTTTCAACTAAGACAAAGCACATGTATCACGTTTTCCAGCGCCTCTAGGGATATGGGGCTATGTGTTTACTAAACAAATGATCACCTAGTTTGCTAAATACTAGATTAAACAGTGGAGGATGGCTATGCAAAACAGTCCGTAGCTAGTGTGAGTCCTATTCCCCCATGCTCCCACACTTCTCAGTCCTTTCCCAGAACACCATAATGTGACAACTAAAGGGCGAATGGTCTTGCTTATACTGCTTCCCTCAGAGTATTATTTCACATATCTGTACCTGAATTTTAAAGGTAACATCCTACCTCCATGAGACAATATATTTCTTGGCCCTTTTAGTTCCTCCAAGGATTAGAAGAGAGTTAGGGACCATAATGGAAACACGACTCACACTCCACCTTGAACTTTAACTGTCACTGAGGGATGTCCACACGAGAGACCTGGCTTTCCTTCTGATTTCTGAGAAAGTGCTTATCATCCACAACAAAGTTAAGATGTAATGAACTCTACAAAGAGCAGGGCTGAACCTAAGAAATTAGACCTTTCAAACTCAGTTTTCCTTTTCGTGAATCAAGATTAATAATAACCAATGACTTTTAAAAAATAAATGTCCTTAAAATCATTTCAGTCTAAAATCTGATTTTCACATAGTCAAATATGTCTGGACTAGACAAGTTATGCCTAGAACAGTGGTTATGGCAGAGGATAGGAAGATTAAATGAAGTGTAAAGTGAGGTATTGAGTACCAGAGTAGAGATTTTAATGCCAGGGAAAGAGGATATCAGGAATATATAAGCAAAGGTTTGAATCTAGGCTTCAAAATTAGCAATAATCCATCATTGGGGGTGAAATCCCAGCTCTGCGGGTCTTCCTGTTTCTCAAGAGCAAAACTGCCTTGTCTGAAGAGCCCAACTCTTTGAGACAGCACAGGAAGATAGGCCAACATAGCCTCAGGGAGGGACAAATGTGACTGATATGACTGGCAAGTAAAATTATGTAATAAACTGAATTTCAGAAATTTGCAGAGACAGAAATAGATTGGAGATATGGAACAACACAAATATTTAAGCACTTCCCTCCCAGAACAGAAAAACTGACTTCGTTATGATTTGCCAAGCTGACTATAATGTTGTAACATTAAAATAGCTGTCACGTGTTTCAGTTATGGCAGTGTTGAGAGAGAGCTTTCTTCTAAGGGTTGCCGCTGCAGGGACACCCACAGCAGAGACACTGTAGAGTTACCTTGCATTCACTCCGACATGCTCTTCAGAAATATAAGACCTAGCTCACAAGAAAGAGGGAGGTCCACTGAGAAGAATGAACCAAAGCATAGAAATTTATCCATGTGACATCAGGAAGATATCTTGACCCAAACCTGCTATGCATAGTCACACATCCCTGGAAGTCCATATTTAGCCCTCTGGTGCTGGGCCTTGAGACCCCATGTACTTTGACCATGAGAGAAATTACTTTCCTTCTATTATTCATTTATGCTGCCCATGGAGTATATTTTTTGCGGGGGGGGGGGCTTTTATGAAAAAGAAGTTCTAAGAAAGAAGCAAACATGATTATTTAGATTCCTAAGGGTAGAGGGCTGTAGAACAAAGATAAACAGCCCACTTCTCACTCTTGCTCTCAGTCAACATTCCCCACTCAAGAACATTAAGATGAAGAAAAACAGGCTTGGTAGCTCCGGAGGTGAACACAGGACCCAATTGGCAACAGGCCGCCATTAAAGATGCTTTAAAATTCCAGCTGACTTGGCCTTTAGAAACTTAGCTCCTAGTCCAAAGGAATCAGAAAGCAAAAATGATCATATCAGTATTGCAAATTTTAAATATATTTATGATAGTTAAATATCTTAAAAGTTTATTAAATTAGTTGAAATGGTTAAGCACGTGTTAAGGATTCAGTTTTAAAATGTCATCATATGAGGACGAGTTTCAGATCTTGCCCAAAGCTTCCAAGATAATGAGACAAATTTCACAACTAACATCTATGAAAACAAGCAAGTCTATTGTTTAAGCCAAAACACACTTAGCAAACATTTTGTAGTTTCGTGTGTTGAAACTTTAACAGCAAGAATGCAGTAAAATTGTACATTTTAGGAAAGGAAATACATAAATTGTTGAAACGAGTCACAATTACTGGCTGAGGAAATAGATGGCTTAGAAGTTAAAGGCATTTTCGTACCCATGGAAGACCCTGGTTCTGTGCTCAGCACCCACGTAGCAGCTTACAAATATCTGTACCTCTAGTTCCAGAGAAGCCATTGCCCTCTCCTAATCTCCACTGGAGCCAGGCACACATGTGGTGTACACACTTTCATACTAGGAACCAGAAACAGAGTGCATACATGCATGCTGGGAA